GTAGTTTTTTAATTAGCAGTTTTGAAATAAGGCAGCGAGTAGATTTATTGTGATACACCCTGAAATAAAGGAATCACTTGAGTGCATCTAAAACTTAGTTAAATCATATATATATGAACATACTACCCAGGGAAAACATGGTAAAATAGTATTCAACCCGTCTTCAGTGACCAACATAGCAGCACAGCACACGACGGCTGTGTGACTGCAGACCGATCCGTGCTGCTCACCCACCTGAGACACAACGGAGCTGCGTGACAGCTGTAACACATCCAAACAAGAGAGAGGGATTAGAGAACTGGTCATACAAAAAAAAAACAATTAAATATGTAAAGTGACAAATAGTTCATGTAGGTTATATTGAAAATGATCAGCTATGAATGCACTGCATAGCTACGTCATTATCCCTTAAATAATGGAAAGTTACCAGAACCATTATAAGGCAGTCGACAATTACCAAATGGGCCAGTGCGTTTTTGATACTCATCTGTGTTCGAGGATGCTTTTTTGTTCTGTCCTTTTGATGATCGTCTTTATCCATTCCCACTGCTCTCTCCACAATCTGTGTTTAAATCAGATGCATGGCATGCCCATAAAGCCCCCATATCATTTTGGATGGAATAACATATTGAAAACGGCTAATGTTGCATGTCACATTTCACTGTCCATCACTCACTTTTTCCTTTTTATTTTATTACGGCCAATAAATCAGCTGCACCCTGTCGTTTGTGGAATAAATCAGGTCAAGGGATGTTTAATTCTGCAGTGCTTTAAATCCTTTATAGTACTAAAAGAAATACGAGGAGACCATCTCCACTGCTCGTCGTTGGTGTAAATTTACAGGAACTCGAATTAAAGTTCTCTGTTTTGAGATCCATTTTGATGCTGAGAGTATTTATTTCCACCCATCTCTAAAGGGGGCATTTCAGGAAGGGCCTTGCTTGCCTCGGGAGAAGACTGTAATGGTCTCTTCAGTGTGAAACATCTGGATACGCGATGCGTCAAAAACGAATTGCGCCACAAAACTCACTGGGCTGGGGCATTCCAGGTCATTGCAAGTGGATTGCAAATAAGCAGGAAGATGCAGGGGTGGTTTTTTTCGTCTGTCCTTTTTTTGTTGAGAGGGACCTTCAGAAGTTTAACAACCTTGTATACTTGCGAGGGTGCCCGTCCTAAGTGAATACATTCACTGCACAAAAATGATAGACTGGAGATTTCGTAGATTGTTTTTTCGTGTGGAGCAATAGCACAGACAAAAAAAATTGAATTGTTCCACTAACGGCACACATTGGTCCTAAAAACAAAGCAGGCAGGGTCAACAAATCAGAGCCCTCAAGCCTCAAGCTTTCGGCGCCAGACTTGCGTATTTAGCGTGTTTTTAGCTTTCTCGGCAGCAGTGGCAAATCTAAAGCACTTCACATGATCGGTCCTGAGTAAATTGCCTATATAGACATTTCCACATCTCCAGGCATGAAATAGGCACGTAACAATTGAGCCCTGACCACAATTTAAAGCTTTGGATCGGAGAACAAAAACATATGATAAAGATCATATTGACTGTTAAGGAAGTAAGGGTGTTTGGGCAAGACACATCACTAGTAAAAGATGGCTGATGGTCGATGCCGACAATGGAATGGCAGCCCAAAGGAGAGAATACTCCTGAGAGGATGACCATCACAGAGACGGAGCAATGAGATCAAGAAATGTGTGGGAACTCTTTGCATTGTTACATTATGAGACCACAAAGGAACGGCAACGACTTGGCGTGGCCCGTATCCAACTGGGTGGCCCAAAAGTCAGGACACGCTGTTATTTTATTGATTTTAACAAATCACATGTGGTCATTCCATTTATTTTAACAAAGGTTCAAACTGTCTTCCATTACATTAATGTGCAGATCAATTATCTTTGGAAATGAATTAAGGACTTTTCTAAGATTACTGGTATAACCTTTGAACATTCAGCAATTGTTTTGATTCAAGTCATTCAGGGCTCTCGGTCGAGTTTTGTAAATTACTGATTTGAGGTGGCCCCACAGGAAGAAGAAAAATAAACATTAATAATTAAAATAGATAAAATAATAACTGAAAGAATAAACAATTAAAATGTTTTAATGCCAATGTTAAAATACATTAAATAACCATGTGCCCTGACATTTGGGCCACCCTGTATGTTATTGTACTTAGGCAAACAGAGCAAATACAAATGTACAAGTGAGAAAGAAACAATATAAAGGACACGGTAAAAGTGAGACGTAAATACAACAAATATTAATTAAATAAATCGGCACTCCAAATCAACAAAAGTAATCCAATCGCTGGCGTACATTCATCCTTAAGATTCCCATAATACTGTATTTCAATTATAACTGTGTATGTGGCAAGTTAGCTTCTTACCACTGCATTGCATGTATATGAACACACGTATATATTTACACCCGTGTATTTTCTTTGCCTTTGCTAGTTCCAATCAGACCTTGAAAGCAGTATCAGAATATGTATATATACTGAAGGAATTGGATGAGCTATAAAGCTCTTTTTCACAGATGTCCAGGAGCCTGGATATTTCTTTGATGGGGGACCACCATGCATAAAAAACAGGTGTTGTGGACAGTGCAAAAAATCCATTGTTGTTCTGTCCGCCACCTTCACCAACCTACAATGACCGATATGGTCAAACAGCCCCCTGCACTACATGGGGGAAGCACTCATCCAGCAGTGGATTGAAAAACGAGCAGTACAGTACGAACATGTATAATTCTATGGTGTGTGCGTGACAAGCATTCGCCGTCTTTGCTTCTTAGAATAATGTGGGGCTGCCTTTCACAATCGTTGTGCTGTGTTGCGTTTGTCCTGGCTTGTTTTTGCAGTGTTTGTAATTGGTTTAATTGGATTTATTTCAACATCCATTCTTGTGGAATATACAAATAACGCCACATTAAATATAATCACTGTGGAGAACAACATCGGTAACAATAAGTTAGGAAGTAAATATAGCACAGAGTCTATTGTGATGAAGTTTGTTAAAACGATTAAGTTGCTTGGGCAGCGTGCACTTCATACATGTATAGTACCTGATTATTACGAGAGCATAGCCTTGGGTACTGTCATCACATTTTAATAAAAGGCTGCAATTAATAATTTGTGATTATGAATGAAATAGAAAAAAGTATATAAAGATAATTATTCCGTCACTGCAAAGAGTGGGGTATTTTTTCTTTTGCATATTTGGGAGGCAGAGTGGTGTGTTGGTAACACTTGTGCCTCACAGCAAGAACGGTCTGGATTAAATTCCTGACTTAAGCACCATTCTGTGCAGAGTTTGTACGTTGTCTCTCCCCGAGTTGTGAATGGGGTTTCACCAGGTTTTCCCGTTTCCTCCCGTAATACATTTTTATTTTGTTTTACTAGTATTGGTCAAAATATCCCAATGCAAAAACTTGCAGGACCCTCCTCAAAAAAGTGTCTTGAGCCTCAGCGAGGCCATCCTGGGTAAACAAGCGAAATCTATAATAAATAATAATCTAGATGTGCTAATTCAGATGGGTGTTTGAATTTAGAAACATTTCTGATAAATAAAAATGTATGTTATTTTTTTACTTAAAACTTTCGTGACTGCAGGAATTCATATGCTTTGGTTCTTTCAGTAAAGTCACGTTGATAGAAAAGAACAATAAAAATAAAGTGAAAAAAATAATGAAAATAAAATAAATACATGTTTTTATTTTTAAAAAACACTAATGTAGACTGTTGCCTGGTTCTTAATCGGAGTGTGTAGTGACATCGCTGGATGTCACCATGCTGTGGGTGCAGTACCGTCACTGAAGGGGCACGGTGTGCATGGAGTGACATCGCTGGATGCCACCATGCTGTAAGTGCAGTGCCGGCCCTCAAGGGCATGGCGTGTGTGTGCCGACCTAAGAGAGAGGTCAGGTAAGGCTATGGCACTCTGGATGACCTGGGAGGACACGTGACTGGTTTGAATGACAGGGGTGCCCCAAGAAGGGGCTAGGAGGGTCACGTGATTGGAACCCAGGTTCTTCTTGATGGTTCTGGAAGAGGGGCGTGGTCAAGGGCGGAGCCAGCCACACCAAAGAGAATATAAGCCGAGTCCCGAGAGGGATCGGGGTTGTCCCGGTCCGTAGTAAATAGTTACTCAAGTAACCAGTGTAGTTAGCCAGGGTGGTCACCACCCAAGGTCATTGTGTTGTTAAGGGTGAAGTCACCCCGTTGTGTTGGAACTAAATAAATGCACTGCCTCCAAGTCTAAGAATGCGACTCAGTTGAACCCACTATAACTGGTGCCAGAAATGGCTAAACGTTTTTATAGTGAGATAGGCCGTGTAAGGTTAGATGTTTACATGACGCAGACAATCTACCAGGATGTTGTCGGACGACGAAGACGACGAGGGAATGATTCCCCAGACAACACCGGGGATGGTGACCCTGGAAAAAGGGAGTGAGGCACCGCCGGCGGAGCAGCGCGACGACCATCTTAGCGACGGCTAGCTGCCGGCGAGGAGAGAGTGCCGATTGTTCTGCGCCTGCCTCACTGATCTTCTGGAGGCCGTGGCTGCGATGGTCGCCGTGCTCGATCGTGAGGAGCCGGCGGTGGAGGACAGAGCATCGTAGCTGCGACGAGCCGAGTCCTCCGTCACTGATTCTCGCCAGTGGAGAAGCGCCGTTGCGCAGCCCGCGCACGCAGCCGCCATCTTGTTCGTCGAGCGGGACTGAGAGCCCGCCCAATCTGAAAGCCCGCCAAGTTCGCCTGTCGAGATCCCATCTCTCGGGCGCTGTCTACCATTTGTAAAGGAGTTCATGGCTGCGGGAGGCGACTGGGTGGCCTTCAAGCGTCGCTTCCAGATGAACTGTGATTTGGCGGGATGAACGGAGGCGGAGGCGCTGAGAGTGCTTCTCGCCGCCCTTGACGACGATGCCTTAGCGGCGTTCTGCGCCATTCCGCCGGCAGAGAGGACCACGCTTCCGCAAGCCTTTTCCCAAATGGCGGCAATTTACGACCCGCCGTCAAATGTTCACCACAAGTTCGTTGCGCGGAGGAGGGGGGAGGCCGAGATGCCCCTCGCCTTCCGCAGTGCGCTGTTGGCGCTGGCAAAAGCTGCTTTCCCAAAGATGGACCACGCTGGAGTCGACTCGCTGGTCCTTGAAAGGTTCTTCACCTGAGGACAGACCTGTTCTTCACCTGAGGACGGCTGCTTGCGTTGTGGCTGAAACGTCGTGAGAATTATTTTATTATGTTTGATTTTATTATTTTATTATTTCCCTTCTACGTGACTTTACCGAAAGAACCAAGAAGATGAATCCCTGTAGTCAAGAAAGCTTTAAATCGAAAAGCAAGTGAGTTCAAGAACCTGCGCGCATACCTCTAAGGAGTGTCACCTTGTTTGCACAGTGTGTGTCCTCAACGTTCATTGGTTTCCTCCCCACGTGAAAAACACCACTTGAACTGGAATTCACCAAACATCCCACTGCAATTATACGCAGAACGTAAGTCTGAGAATTTTCTTATTGCGCACTCTGATTAGTCCAGTCCATCACCAATGCGCACACATCACACGTGTAAGCTCTTTGGAAAGAAACACTGTTTTAAGTGGCTTGCAAAACTGGCTCGAACTCAGGGATGGATCCAGAATGCGGGCTATTAACTCGACCCAGGTCTTCCGACCGGAGACCTTTTAAACCACGCTGACGGATAATACTGTACCGTGGTCTGTTTCCCCTGTGAAAATAAAGGAACATATTTGTCCATCGGCCAATGTTACCTTATGAATCTCTTCCCGTAGCATATATGGGATGCTTAGTTTTGATTTGTTTAAGTCTCATCCGAAGGGTGCAACTCAAAACACTCGCTGAAAATTAACTGACCCTCCTGGAAAAGAGTTCAATAGCTCAGTGAGACTTCTGAATATGTCAGTGACATAATTATTATTCTATCACAATGATATATGTTCTTGAGAATCTTAAAGGCTCTATAATATAGGGTTTTTTTGGGGTTAGATCGCGTAAATATAAATGTCGTTAAACCCACCACCACCCAACACAGCCAATTAGTAAGGTTTGTCAAGTATACAGAACAATGGGAATTTGTTACTAGTTTAGTCAGTCATTCTGAAACACTATTTAGGAGGCAACACCAGTTATTTCACACTTACGTAACTCCGTTACACACGGGTCTAAATACACTTATTCTCACTCTTGTTACGCATAGGACTACAACACACCTATTCTCACTCTTGTTACGGGACAATCTATAATCGGGTCAGCGCAGCCACATGCTGCCTGCCCACGATGTCGAAGACGGGGACGAAGACGTAGCTCTTGGGTTCCTCTTCACACTAGACAGCCCGGATCTGTGATCGGGGCTTCCCTTTTATCCCTCTCGGCGCGGCCTGGCTCCACCCTCGGCCGCGCCCTACGTCTAGAATCTTCCCGACGGTTCCAGGCTACACAGCACCTATTCCCTCTCTGGCTCCACCTTCAACCACGTCTCTATCAAGAACTCTCTAAACGTACTCAGCTACTCCCCCCCGTGCCCCCTCGTTCACCTTTGGCCCACATTACATGTCCTCACATAGCCCCCACCACACTCTTCTAGTGGCGCACTCTGTGGTGATTCCCTACGGCGCTGGTGGAGGCTGCAATCCCCTACTCTGTCGGTAGGACTCGTCAGGCGTCCTCCTGCTAGCAACCAGCACCGTGCCCCTAGTGGCCCACTGCATGGTACTGCATGGGGTGTTCGCCTCTGCACCTGTTTCACACACTAGTACAGCACACCGGTGTGTTGGAAAGCAAATGTTGTGGCGGGTTTAACGACACATTTATATTTACGCGATCTAACCCCCCCCCCCCCAAACAAAACCCTATATATTGGTCGCGAAAGCCTACATGTTTCTCTGCAAGGCTGTCATAACGTCAAAGTTGTATTCATATTACGCTGCTCAGACCCGGGGACATCTAACATTACAGCAGCTGTATCATACAACAAAAAATCATTCATTACAATCTGCAATTGCCTCTACATTGGCAAAAAAATAAAATAAGAAATTCCTATCATTGTCAACACGACCAGTTTGGTAAACCCATTCGACCTCCCACCCCCGTCCACAACCTGTCCTTTTAACTCTGTGCGAACGCAAGATACGAGACGGAGTACACCTCGACCACGGATTCCGGAGCGCCGTGAGTTTCTCCCCCCCCCCCGTACGCCGCAGAACGCGGAAGTTCGCGCGCTCCGTTGCCAGTCGCCCGGGACGAGGTCCGCGTCCGCGTTTTGCGAGCGGCTCCCCGAGGGTCTCCCCCCCCCCACCCCCTTCTGGACACGACGTGTACGCGCGTGTTTGTGATGTGTGTGTTGTGTGTGTTACTCTTAACTTATTCCAGCAAAGTTGTTTTACCGGGCTAAGCTGTGCGGTGGCCGATAACCCGCCGATGGGTTTCTGCGCTTGTGGGTTCAACGACAATAACAAGAAGGAGAGCGGCAGCGGTAACGATAGCACCACACATCACCACGCATCACCACCTCGCCGTGTGTGTGTACACACGTACAGTGCACGTGGCGTGTGGCGTTTCAAATTGTCCGTTCACTGGGCAAGCGATTCAAGCGTCCGGCCCTTGTCTTTTTGTTGGGTGCCTGTGTTCGCGGCCACGTCAACGCGGCTTGTTGTGTTTGTTGTTGTTGTTTCTGTGTTGGGCGAGAGGGGCCGATGGTGGTGTGGGAAGAGCCGGAAACGCGGACAGTGCGCGGCTCTGGGTGGGTGTTAGGGGGAAGCGCCACGAACCCGGCAGGCCGAGTTCGACTCCGGCTCACGGCCTCCCGACACCGCCTGCAGGATTAGCCGAACCCGTCCTGGGCCCCATGAGTCGATACCGCATCAAATAGGTCGCGCTGGTACAGCGGTGTCTTCAAACATCGCCACTAGGGGAGACAAAGGCGGTCGGGCGTGGTGGTGGTGGTGGTGATGGTGGAGGTGGTGTGATGGTGGTGGTGGTGTGATGGTGGTGATGGTGGTGGTGATGGTGGTGGTGATGATGGTGGTGGTGGTGATGGTGGTGGTGATGGTGGTGATGGTGGTGGTGGTGGTGGTGATGGTGGTGGTGATGGTGGTGGTGGTGATGGTGGTGATGGTGGTGGTGGTGATGGTGGTGATGGTGGTGGTGATGGTGGTGATGGTGGTGGTGGTGGTGGTGATGGTGGTGGTGATGGTGGTGGTGGTGATGGTGGCGGTGGTGATGGTGGTGGTGGTGATGGTGGAGGTCGTGGTGGTGGTGATGGTGGTGGTGGTGATGGTGGTGATGGTGATGATGGTGGTGGTGATGGTGGTGGTGGTGTGATGGTGGTGATGGTGGTGGTGATGGTGGTGGTGGTGATGGTGGTGGTGGTGATGGTGGTGGTGGTGGCCACCCACCCCTTCGTGTGCCACAGTGGCCGGGGAGCCTTCAGAGGTGCTACTCGCTGACAGCACTTGCCCCAACAGTCTGTTGCAGGCTACACGGGGGGAGGGGCATCTTTGTCTTTGTGGTCGTCACCCACGTGGCATATACCGCGGTGACAAATGTGTCTGTCATTCATCATAATTGTCACAATTAGCCATGGGCATTTGCTGCTGGATGAAGACCTTTCTCCAGGCCGTGGTGGTCTTGTCCACGACTGGTTACATAATAACATTGAGTACTGTACCAAGAATATAGCTGTACCACGGTACAGATTGCGTGGTGGAACGAGGTGACGCGCTTTTGCCAACATTAAAAAAATTGTTGTTTCATATTCTTGGTTCTTTCGGTAAAGTCACGTAGAAGAGAAATAGTAAAATAATAAAAATAAAACGGAATAAGATAAAATTCTCACGACGTTTCGGTCACAACGCAAGCAGCCGTCCTCAGGTGAAGAACAGGGCTGTCGGAAAGGCAGCGTCCGAATGAACACTGCAGTGTTCATTTATTTTAATTTCATTATTTCCCTTCTACGTGACTTTACCGAAAGAACCAATAATATGAATCCATGCAGTCACGAAAAAAAGGAGTTGTGTTTGAGCCCAGATCGAATGACAATTCCCTGATATATCTGATAAAGTCACAAGGCACTTTTTTTTGGTATTAAGAAGGGTCCTGCGAATGGGAGTAATAGGGTAATACCATGAGGTTTTGGGATATTTATCTTGGGGAAACCTCACGGAGTTTCTCGAGATGGGTCCTTCGTTGGAGACGGGTTTCCTAAGCCCTCATTGCCCTGTCGTGCTATATGGCCACCTTGCAACCCCCCCCCCCCCCAGAGAAGGTTTGAAAGTTTGACAAATGTAGTTTGGGGCCGTCCATAAATGACGTCACGCACCTGGGGGGGGGGGGTCAGACAATTGTGACGATGTGTGACGAGGGAGGGGGGTTGAGAAATGTGACGTCACATCAAAATGCGCAACTTTAAATAAATATAGGCAACACGTGTTCTACTTAATTAAATAGACTTCATAAATGTTTTCTCCTACAACATCAGAGTGCAGCGCCACAATAAATACGCACTACAATGACAATAGTTTAAAGCGATTTGAAGCATGTTTTATTTTGGGGGGGGGGGGCAGAGCTTTGTGACGTCATAGTTGAGGGGGGGGTCTGACTTTTTGTGACGCCGTGTGACGAGGGGGGGGGTCATAAATCGTCCAAATCGCGTGACGTCATTTATGGACGGCCCCTTAATTCGGCGATTTAAAAAAGAATAAATATCGCATTGAATGATAGCACCTTTAGTGGCTTCCATTAAGCGTAACGCGTGAATTGAAAAACATTGATTTTTGCACACCCGATGCGTTTGCACGTGTCGTTAGATTAATTGATATCAATCGATGCATCTCTCCACCCCTCTCATCACTGTGCTGTAGAAGTGACTGCAGACTAAGCAGCTTGTAAGTTTGTAATAGGATGTGGCATGAAGGTTTTGCAGATGTTATTGTGAGGTGCTTGTGCTGTGCTGAATAGGGCACGCGTGCAGAATTGTGGACAGGGCAGATTCTGAGACAGCCATCGGAAGGAGGAGGCAAGAGGAGGGTCTGTGCGAAGGAAAGCCCTAAAGCCACTATGATGGACTCTACAAAAGTAGTCTTTGAAGGATGGGGAGACGGTGCCTTAATGAGAAGACCTCAAGCCAGACGGCGGCTGTTGA